GATAGATAGATAGATAGATAGATAGATAGATAGATAGATAGATAGATAGATAGTCCTCAGCAATAATAACAATGCTCAGACACTTTTGGTGAAGGTGGAATTTCCTGACAATTTTTTACTGATTCAAAAGCTGCTTCCACCAGGAAGCAATCTCATATATGGCCAGAAATAAAGCCTTCCCAGCTCTCTGAGTATCCCTTAATCTAAGTTGACAATGAAATTGACCTCACACTAATACATTTGAGAAGTTAGAGAACAATTGATCAGCTGAAAATTTGCTATGAAGAACAGTGCAGCCCCTTTTCTCACATTATTTCTCCTTTTTGGTCTTTTCATCTGTGTGACTGTGAAACCAGCATGAATATATGAGAAGGCAATGTTTACATTCAGACGTAGGTAAAGACGTAGACACAAGACACAATGCTGCAAAGCAGAACTCCAGGCAGTATTCCTCTGCGTACTTTGAAAGTCCTGAAGCAGATTCTCTTCTGCTTTGAGGATGCACTGGGAAATTTTACAAAAGCTGTTAAGTTTTCAACTAGGATGTGAAGATAACCATGTGGGGCAATGCGCTCCTTCTTCTTGGGTGGATTTACAAGTGACAGAACTGGAAGCTGTCTTGTGCTTGCTCTTGGGAGGAGGATGGTGTAACGCGTCCATTCTGCTTTATGATGTTCATTCAGAACTGTGGGTTCAATCTTAATTGTTTTGTCTTCAGGTAAAGTCCTGAATTTAGGCCATGAGCACATTGTCGTGACTTTGTGACTAGTGAGAGGCCTTGAGGAAAAATATTAGGTGTTTTTCTGGGAAACTAGTTTATGATTGTCCTATTGGAGATTTTGAAACTGGAACCTGGATTAACGAGTAACAGATGTGGCAATAGGATCCAAGTAGAGAAATGACAGAGGAAGCAGAGTTCTATAAGTTAGTGAATGCGCCTGTAAAATGTTCACGGTGCATGTCACTTCAAGATGCTGTCAAGACAGTATTTCTCCAGATCCCTTCAATCACAGTTTGAGAGTTGTGTTGGGGTAGTAAAAAGGATATTGTATCTTTGTGTTGGGGCAGTAAAGAGTATATTGTAGTTAAAGAACAAGTTAAATTGTAACTCTCCACCTGTTCCTCTATGGACTCTGGTTCAGGAGGGTGAAACAGAAAGCCCAATGGAATGTGAGCGTCAGAGAAGGTAAAGAATGAGAGGGTACTTGAAAGGTCAGAAAGAGATCTTCCCCTTTATATGTCATTTCAAGACCATAGCCAGTGCTTTGTGACTGAGGCTCACAGGGTCCTTTAGTGGGCCTCAGTTCTCAAGGTGTGCATCCTATGCCTGAGATCCACGTGGTCTACAGATGGCTAAGCTTCGGAGTTGGCTTCTAGTGAGCTTATTTCTCACTGAGGCTCTTTTTTTGGAGGCTGCGAAAATCCTGACTATAGCTACACTGGGTGAGTGCCTGCTGGGAATGTAGTGCTGTAGCTCAGGACACACGAGATAACGTGTCTCATAGAAACAGCATATAGAGGACCATCTGCGCACAAGATTTTCTGGCTAGGCTCGGATCTAACCTGGGGGAAGAGGTATGGAGTGTGCAAAGTGGTGCTTATAAGGGACTCCACCTAAGGGTGGGCATAAATAGTAGACAGAAACAGCATCTGATGTGGACAGAGCTCCAGGAGACTGAGCTGTGTATTGCAAAGTAGACAAGAATGGCTTCTTTACTGGGACCTAAGATTGTAAGTACATGGGAGGCATATGAGTCAAATTTGCAGTCTATTCCTTCAAAAAAAGGAGCAGTGAGTATTTCTAGATTTTTCTGGGAGAGGCTACCATCTATAAAGATTTTTGGTTTCAAAAGAGCCTCTTCTTCTCTCTAAGTACACAGTCACTGAAGTCTGCATAACATCAAGCCAGCATCTTATTCCACAAACTGTTATGTTACTCTTACCACTCAAAGTGTTCTGCTCCCACTGTGTGGTATGGAACTCATGGTGACAATGCTGTAGGACTCGGGACGAGGATCTCTGATAAAAGTCAGGGTCATTTAGGGGTAATACATATTAGTACCAACAAGTAGCTTCCCATTCATAGACTTTGTAAAAACATTTTTTTCAAATGATCAATTTGTTTGCATTTATATTTAAATACATGTTACCCAGGATTAGGGCAGGAAAGAAGCCAGACATAATAGAAAAGCAGAGTTGATGGATGTGTCATCCTATTTTAATTCCCAACTGGACACCTATGAGTGCCAGTAAAGAGTCAAGATTTTAGCAAAGTAAGCTTTGACATTCACAATTAACATAGACAATTAACGCAAACTGTGCTAACAATACCTTCATCATAGCTATTCCCCAATTCCAAGTTTTCAAGATAACTCACGTATTATCACATCTTTAATATTTAAAATTAGTTATTTTAAACAGTTAATTAAAAGCAAGTGAGATATATACCTCCCTGCTCCCATAACCATCCTTCCTCCCTGCCCCCCATCCCATTCCCCCAAGCTATCCCCAATCCTCCCCCTCTCCCTTCTCTCTAGCCCTCTACCCTTACTTCCACCCCTCCCCCCACCCCCTCCCCGTGCACCCAAGTTTGCCTGGCAATCTTGTCTACTTCCAACATCCAGGAGGATAACTATATGATTCTTATTTAGCTTCTCTAGGATCACGAATTATAGGCTCAAAGACCTATAATAATTAAAGACCTTTAATTATGGCTAAAATCCCCATATGAGTGAGTACATACCATATTCCTCTTTTTGGGTCTGGGTTACCTCACTCAGTAAAGCGTTTTCTATTTCCATCCATTTGCATGCAAAATTCAAGATGTCATTGTTTTTTACCGCTGAGTAAAACTCTAATGTGTATATGTTCCACACCTTCTTTAACCATTCTTCTATTGAGGGGCATCTAGGTTGTTTCCAGGTTCTGGCTATTACAAATAGTGCTGCTATGAACATAGTAGAACAAATGCTTTTGTAGTATGTTAGGGCATCTCTTGGGTATATTCCCAAGAGTGGAATTGCTGGATCCTGAGGGAGGTTGACTCCTAGTTTCCTGAGAAACTGCCACACTGATTTCCACAGTGGCTGCACAAGTTTGCATTCCCACCAACAATGGATGAGTGTTCCCCTCACTCCACATCCTCTCCAGCATAGGCTATCGTTGGTGTTTTTGAGTTTAGCTATTCTGACAGGTGTAAGATGGTATCTGAAAGTTGTTTTAATTTGCATTTCCCTGATCGCTAAGGAGGTTGAGCATGACCTTAAGTGTCTTCTGGCCATTCGAAGTTCATCTGTTGTGAATTCTCTGTTCAGTTCAGTGAAACTGGATGGCTTACTGAGATTTTTTGTGGTAATTGTAAGATTCTGAAGGGAGTATGATTCTGCTGTTACAAAGTGCTGACACTTAGCTTACTCTGCAGCATTACTAAAGTGCTTATATACATTAAGGTATTCTGTCACTAAAACTTTTGTTTACATTTCTGTATCTATCTGAAACTCTACCTCCTTTAGCGGTCCTAATCATAAAGGAATGATATTCTATGAGCATTTCATCCTTGGCCTACAATCTAGCAGTTTATGGCAAAGCTATTAACCTTATGGATTTATCAATGAATAGTAAATTTGCTGTATTGATCCTGTTCACTTCTCCTAACTATCTCAGTAATATGATAACCCTGACTGCTCTTGGGAATGGTGAGGGAGGAAGAGAGGGAGTGAGGGGAACGGGAGGGGATTTGGAGGAGGGGAGGAAGTGGAAATTCTTTAAATAAATAAATAAGGAAAAAAAAACAAAAAACAAGAAAAGAAAATATTTATTTTTATTGTATGGATATTTTACCTACATGTATATATGTCTGGTACCCATGGCGCAGTCCTGGTAGAAATTCTAAAAAGGCATCAGGACTAGTAGAACTGGAAGTTCTAGGTGGCTATGAGCCTCCATTGGGTGCTGGATATTGAACGTGAGGCTTCTGGAAGAAGAACCGGCATTCTTTTATTTATTTATTTATTTATTTATTTATTTATTTATTTATTTATTAAAAATTTCCACCTCCCATTTCCCTCCCACTCTCCCGAACCCCCCTCCCCCTCTCTCAGCATTCTTAACCATTGATTCATATCTTCAGTCTCTGGCCCCTCCTTTGTGTTTTTCTTTTTTGTTGTTGTTGTTTGTTTTGTTTTTGGAGACAGAGTTTCTCTGTGTAACCCTGGATGTCCTGGAATTCATTCTGTAGAGCAAACTGGCATTGAACTAACAGAGACTTGCCTGCCTCTGCTCCCAAGTGCTGGGATTAAATGTATATGCCATCACTGATGGCAGATAGTTTTATGGAAACCAGAAGTTTTCTTTTAACTGTTGTAGAAGTTTTCTTTTTACTGCTGTGGAAGTAATCATCCCGCAGGACGGGGGATAAAGATTTCGATGTGCTATTAAGCCCTAGAATCCTAGCACCTCCTCAGTGGCAAGGGTAAGATGTTCAGAGACTTTCCATAAATTTCTAAGAGGTAAATATTAGAAATATTTTTCCAAGGTAAAATTGAAATGATGACTTTACATTCCCAGGAGGTTTCTAGTGGGCCCTGCTGTGTTTTGCCTACCTTTTCCACATATTTGAAGATCGATGGGTCCTATCATTCTGTTTCTATGGTTGAAGTGTTATTTACTTTTTGTTTGTCTAGTGTAATAGAATGCAAAACCTTGTAAGAGTGTCCGTATGAAAGGATGATTGTACTCAACCTTTCTCATGATAGCGTGTCACACTTACATCACTTTGTGGGATGGAACCCGAGGAACTCAGTGTTGGAGCAAAACACAGAGTATAAAATGGGCTGGGACCTTCTGCTTAGTTCTCTATAGAGGAAAACTAGGACCAAGGAACTGGGCACCTTTGTGCAGGATCACAACTCACCTTTCTAGTGTCACATAAATAATTCATACATATCTCCTAATGAGTATCTTTATAGTGGGAACTGGAACATTTTCCACCTGCCTTTAAAAATATATTTTTTTATTTTTTATGTTCTTTTTTATTGCTTTTATTGAGCTGTACATTTTCCTCCACTATCCTCTCTTCCTCCCCTCTCCCCTTCTGACCTCTGCTCTGACCACCATGCTCACATTTTACTCAGAAGATGCTGGTTTTTTTTTTTTTCACCTTCCTATGTAGATCCATCTTTGTTGTCTAGTTTCTCTGGGGTTCCGGCCTGTAGGCTGGTTTTCTTTTTGTGTGTGTCTAAAAGTCACTTTTGAATGAATAATATTATATTTGTCTTTTTTGGGTATGAGTTATCTCACTAAATATGTTTTTTTCTAGATCCATTCATTTACCTGCAAGTTTCAAGATATCTTTATTTTTACCATTGTGTAGTACTCTATTGTGTAAATGTACCACATTTTCTTTATCAAGTCTTTGGTTGAGGGGTATTTAGGTTGTTTCCATGTTCTGGATACTACAAATAATGCTGCTATGAACATAGTTGAGAACATGTCCTTGTGATATGATTGAGCGTCTTTTGAGTATATACCCAAGAGCATACTGCTGGGTCTTGAGGCAGATTGCTTCCCAATTTTCCGAGAAATCGCCATACTGATTTCCAAAGCAGCTGTGCAATTTAACACTCCTACCAGCAATGGAGGAGTGTTCCCTCTTATGTCACATTCTCTCCAGCATATGCTGTCAAAAGTGTTTTTGATCTTGGCCATTCTGATATGTGTAAGATTGAATCTTAGAGTTGTTTTGATTTGCATTTCTCCAATTTGTTGACTGAGATTTCTGTTCAACCTGGTCCCACAGCCGTTTAGACCCAAATAAACACACAGAGGTCTACATTAATTATAAACTGATTGGCCCATTAGCTCCAGTTTCTTATTAACTAATTCTTATAACTTGTATTAGCCCATAATTCTTGTCTGTGTTAGCCACATAGCTTGGTACCCTTTTTTGGCAAGGCAGTCACATCTTGCTATCTTGCTTCCTCTGCAGCTGGGTCATGACTGCAGACTACAACTTCCCTTTTCTCAGAATTCTCATTGTCCCACCTCTACTTCCTTCCTAGCCTCCCTGCCTGTACTTCCTGTCTGGCTACTGGCCAATCAGCATTTTATTAAAAATAGTATGAGTAACAGGATAAAAGACCATTGTCCCACAGCACCAATGGCTAAGGATGTTGGGCATTTCCTCAAGTGTCTTTCATCCCTGTGTGATTTGTTTGTTTATAGTTCTCTGTTTAGATCTGTATCCCCATGTTTTTTTTTTATTGGATTACGTTTTCTTTTAATGCCAAATTTCTTGAGTTCTTTGTAAATTTTGGAGATCAGTTCTCTGTCTGATTGGTTTGTGAATCTGCAGGTGCTGTTTTGTCTTATTGACCATGTCTTTTGCTTTTCAGAAGCTTCTCGGTTTCTGGAGGTCCCATTTATTAACTGTTGCTCTCAGTGTCTGTGCTACTGGGATTATATTTAGGAACTGGTCTCCAATGCAAATGCGTTCAAACGTACTTTCCACTTTCTCTTCTATGAGGTTCAGTGTGGTTGGTTTTATGTTGAGGTCTTTGATCCATTTGGACTTGCATTTTGTGCATGGTGATTGATATGGATTGATTTACATTCTTATACATGTTGATATCTAGTTATGCCAGCACCATTTTTGAATATGCTTTCTTTTTTCCATTGTATAATTTTAGCTTCTTTTTCAAAAATCAGGTATTTATAGGTATGTGGATTGATATCTGGGTCTTCTATTTGATTCCATTGGTTCTCCTATCTGTTTTAATGCTAATCCTAAACTGTATTATATATTTCATTACTGTAGCTCTATAGTAGAGATTGAAGTCCAGGATTGTGATGCCTCCAGAAGTTCTTCTGTTGTACAGGGTTGTTTTGGCTAACCTGTTTTTTTTCTTTTCATATGAAATTAAATATTGTTCTTTTGAGGTCTCTGAAAAATTTTGCTGGGATTTTGATTGGCATTGCATTAAATCTGTAGATTGCTTTTGGTAAGATTGCCATTTTTACTCTGTTAACTCTATCTACCCAAGAGCATGGGGAAATCTTTCCATTTTCTGGTGTCTTCTTCAATTTCTTTCTTCAAAGTTTTAAATTTATTGTCATACAGATTTATCATTTGTTTGTTTAGCATTACCCCAAGGTATTTTTTATTATTTGTGACTATTGTGAAGGGCGATGCTTCTCTGATTTCTTCCTTGGCCTGTTTATCACCTGTATAAAAGAGGATTACTTATTGTTCGAGAAAATCAACAAAATAGACAAACGTTTATCCAAACTAACCAAAAGTCAAAGAGAGAGTGAATATCTAAATTAACAAAATCAGAAATGAAAAGGGCAACACAACAACAGGCATGGAAGAAATCCAGAGAACCATCAGAACATACTTCAAAAGCATATTCTCCACAAAATTGGGTTTGTTGCTGTGAGATATTCTGTTGGCTGTGTTTTCGTGGGTGTATCTGATTTCTTTGGGTTGGAGTTTTCCTTCTGGTACTTTTTATAGGACTGAATCTGTGTCCCATAGCTCCTGGATATTTTTCTAAGCTTTTGTTAGATTTAACATTTTCCTTGACTGATGAGTTGATTTCCACTATCATATCTTCAGTGCCTGAGATTTTTTCTGCCATCTACTGCATTCTGCTGTTTATGCTTGCATTTTTGGTTCCTGATCATTTACCCATAATTTCCATTTCCAGAATTCTCTCGGTTTGTTTTTCCTTTATTATCTCTATTACAATTTTCAAGTCTTGAATCATTGCTTTCATCTCTTTGATTGATACTTTTTTGTTTTCTTTAAGGGATTTATTGATTTATTTCAATTGTTTTGTTTTTTCCTCTACTTCTTTGAGGGAGTTTTTCATTTCTTCTTTAAGGGACTCAAGTATTTTCCAAAAGTTAGTTTTTTAGCTCATCTTCTTCTGCTTCATATGTGTGGGGGTGTTCACGTCTTGCTGCTGTAGAACCACTGGTTTTTGGGGGTGCCATGTTGTACTTTGTGTTGTTGAGTGTGTTCTTACCTTGTTGTCTTCCCATCTTTTCTTCCAATTGGTGTAGTTGAGTTTTGTCTCTGGTGATCAGTCCTCCAGGCACCCCTGGATCCTAGGCTCAGATGATGGTGGAGTTGGTGCCATGGTTCAGCTCATGAAGGATGTTGCTCAGTGACTGTGGAGATCGGGTGTGGGCAAGCCTTCCTTGCTTGGTGGCTTAGGCAGAGTTTGTGCACTGACAGGTGGGCCTATTGCCTACTGACTCTGGCCTTCTTTTATTATTTGAGATTGGAATTATGATAATTTTTCTTTACCTTTCCACCCTCCAAACATTCCCATATACATTTGCATAATCTCTTTGAAACACTTGGCCTCATTGTTCGTTCATTCATTGTTGTAACACGCATAAATTATATTTACATACACATGCACTACTAAATATAACCTGCTCTGTCTGTATAGTGTTACTTGTATGTATGCTTTGAGGGATGACCATTGTTTTTATTGGATAATGAATTATTGTAGTCTTCCGTAGGGAAACCTATTTCTCCCACTCTTGGCACTTTTAGTTGCCTCTGTTTTTATTGTAGTTGTTTTAGTTTGTTCTCTCTCTCTCTCTCTCTCTCTCTCTCTCTCTCTCTCTCTCTGTGTGTGTGTGTGTGTATGTGTATATGTGTGTGTTTATAGGGTTGAAGGCTGATCGCCTTTAGCATGTCATTGTTGTTCTTGTTCAGCTCACGTTTACGCAGTCCTGTTGGTGAGATTTTATGAGTTTAGTTTTCTTTGGCTCTTAATCATCTTACCTCCTCTTCTGAAATGATCCCTGAGCCTCAGGGGGAAGAAGCTGCTTCATTTATCTTCTTTCTTCATGGTTCTTTTATGTTATGAAGGTAAAGAACCCAACTCTTGATATATCACTTGTTCCTGTTCTCACTGACTTAGTTTGTCCAGGTTAAAACTCTCAGACTTTCTCCTGGATGAACTCTTTCTCATGAGTGTTCATTCACATGGCTGTCTCACTGGATGCCCTTCTCAGTCTATGAGAACAGGAGCAGCAGTCCAAGGTGCAGTGGGCTTTTATGTGTGCTGTGTTATTTCAGACAACACACATGTGAATGAGAAGAGTGACTCACTCAAGAGATACATTCAAATTCCCTGACTCTTTCAGCTCTGCCCTAATTTAATCATGGTGCTTTTAGCTCTCCCAGTCATTCTACCTTCCCAGCTTTTCGTATACAATTTCCATTTCTTTTCTTAATGTATCTCTCTCTGCTTCAGCTTTGGACTCAAAACTAATGTCCTAAAGAAATTGTGGCTAAGAAGAAGCCATTGTTGTGATGATACTTGTATATTTCCTGAAGATCCCAGGATTGTTGGAGAATTTACCTTGCCCCAGTTTCTTGTGTGTCTGGTGCTCCTCACAACCAACCCATTTGTTGAGGCCTCATGGTGATCTCTAATGGCTTTATTTCAAAGGATGTAAACTCGGGTCTAAGAAGAGAAATTTCTTAACTGAGGGCTCCATACTCTTCTGTCTCCATGAAAATTTCTTTGACTGAAAATTTATCAGTCATGATATTGTGATGTTTTTTCCATCATTATAAAAATTGTTTTGAACCAAATGACTGCAGTCATGGGAAAACACAGTGGAAAATATAAATATACCATAGGATGAAGAGTGTCTAATGTCCAAGCAGAGTAGCTCATTATATCAAACATGGGAACCCTCAGATTTGTAAACGTTTATTTCTTTTTATTCATATGAGTGTTTTCACTACACAGATAGCATATAAATATGCCGTGTGCATGAAGTTCCTATGTTAGATTTCCTGGAACAGGAGTTTGAGATTATTGTAAGCCATCACGTGAGTGCGAGGAACTGAACCAGAGTCCTCTCTGAGAGCAGCAAATGCTCTTAATTGCTGAACCATCTCTTCAGGCATGGTCTTCATATCTTTGATGGCGGATTCCTATTGACCAGAGCTATGGATTCATAATCTGGATATACCTACAATGTAATCGAGGGCAGGGAAAAACTGGTTTCTCTCTATGGATTTAAGACTCTCTATGTCTTCACATTTACTTTTGGATTTCTTTATGTCAGCTGTTTATTGTAATCAGAAACCTTTTTATTAGTCTCCTCAAAAATGAACTTATGTTTTATTTCTAGGTGGAAGCCATTATTTAGTATTGAGCCGTGTGTCACAAATCCTTCAAGACAATGGCCATAATGTGACCCAGCTGCTTAATACAATTTCTCACATTCCAGGTACTTTTCAAATAAACTATTACATTAAATCTGTTTAAATAATAAATTATTGCTTTTGATAAAAGTTCTGTATTTGATCTTATTTAGAGATAAATCATGGTGTGTGTGTGTGTGTGTGTGTGTGTGTAAAGGTTTTGTAGATCTCATTAGAAAATGTTTTCTTGACCTCCTCTGACTTATTTCTGTATGTTACTTCCTGGTATAGGTTGACAATGATTGTAGTATGTCCCCCAAATCTTAATGTTCTAGAACCAACGGTATCAAACATTATTTAGCTCTAAGAAGTAGGTCTCTGATGGAATAGACTTGAAAAGTAATTGTATTATCCTTCCAGATGTGGATTATTTCTTAGTGAGGCAAGTGTTTATTAAAGAGTGAACCCTACCTTCTCTGGCCTCTTTTTCTCTTTCATCACGTGGCTCTTGTATCTACCATGTATTACACACACCACCTTCTGTATTAAGCTGCAGTGAGAAGACAGCCATTGGAAGCTCTTCACACAGCTCCACGTAATCTTGGATGATCAATCTTTGAAATATGAGTTAAAGAGCTTCTTAGGTTTATTTTTCTTTGTGTATACTTGTGTGTGATTGTGTATATTTCTGCACATAAGTATAGGTGCCCAATGATACCAAAAGAATTTGGTCGGCTTAGTTTGACCTGGAGTTAACAGGCAGTTGTGGGCTGCCTGATGTGGTTTCTGGGAAAGGAACATGGGCCCTTGGCAAATGCAATACCCACTTTTAATGGCAGAGTCAACTCAGTAAAATATTAAAAATATAAGTTAATTAATATCAGCTATTTTATTATGGCAACAAAAATAGATTAAATAGCCCATCACTTGAATGTCACTCCCAGACAATGCTACACATAATTGTTGATTATTTGAATAAATTCTTGTATCAAGTGTGTCTAAAAGTAGTGTTGAACAGACATATTCTGCCATATAGAACTTTGGCACTTTAATTATCTAAGGTTCGCTAAACTCAACGCCACTCAAATCCATTTCTATCTTTAAATGAGACTTATAATTTGAAGAGCTATTTTCCAGTGACCTTTATACTCATGCTCAAATTTTAGGATGTGTGATTGAGAAGATCTCAGATTCTTGAGGAATCAGTGGCTCCGCCAAAGCTCTGCATAGTGAAGTCAGAAGTCCTCAGTTTAGTGCATCCAGAGGATCATAACCAAACTGAAGACCAGCAGTCTCTGGGGATAGACTAGGGCACAGAAGCCCAGAAAACTCCAACTCTCTGGATATATTTTTATATATTTAATTGTCCTTAATAGTTGTCTGGTTAATTAATAATTAATTAATAATAATTAATAATTAATTGTCTGGTTTCCTAACTACAATTCATGCTCACCCTGTTTTCTTAGTCCCCCAACCTTTGATCTACTGCTCAAAGCTTCAGACTCTCTAATCCTTTAGCAAACCATGCACAAAAATTCTGCAAACTTTCCCCATTAACAGTGGAATGAATGTCTTTTCTTTGTAGATTCAAGTGTTGCTGTTTTCAGATTTCTTTTGTCCTTTATTTCCTCCCTTTCTTCTTCCCACTGCCACCTTGTCCTCCTATTTGCTCCCTGTCTTGTGTTCTTTTCTTTATTTTTCTTTTTCTGAGTTTTTCTGAGATGGGCCCAGGTTTTGTGTAGCCATGGCTGTTCTCAAACTCAAGGTCTTATCTTAGCTTCTAAGCTTCTTGGATTATACAATGAGTCACCAGTCACAACTCTGAGATCCTTTCTCCATCCATAAGCATTGGACATTTCAGATGTGATAATGGGTTAGTCTTTCTTTTTATTTCTGAGTAAAATTGAAGTGAATTTATGAATATAGAAATCAGATTGCTAGAACATTTTTACCAAATTTCAACTGAAACTCTGTATTTAAACTCTAAATATAAATTAATTGTCTGGATCACTTTCATTTTGTAATTATTAAACCTGAAAAACTGCATGACAGACAACCTGAAGAAGTAATGGTTTTTAAGAGTTACATAAATCGAAAGTATTTGATTTGGTAGTGCCAGGAAGGAGGGTTATAGTTCTTTTCTGTTTTATAACAAGCTCCTTAAACTCACTTTCGGCCTATGCAGATCATTTTTCAGGACCTGGGATTTGAAGATCTTAAAGAATGCGGTAGATTACAGTCTAATGTTGTAAGAGACTTTACTGCAGTTTCTGTGTACTTTTTAACACAAAAAAATGTAACAATGAAAGCAATGATCCAAGTAAGGTTTTTTGAGTTCAAAAAAACAGGATCAGAAAAACCATGTAAATAAATGCCAGTAAGTACATACTAAATATCTACAGATCATCCCTTTCCCAGAATTTTCTAATGATACAGCAGCTTAAGTATATACTATAGATTATATCTGGGAAAGCACAAAAGGAACTCGGAAGACCATATCCTGATCAGGACACACTGAGGACGGCACTCAGCCTATCCTTTCAGGCAGTTTCTTTATTCATTAACCAATAAAACCAATAAAAGCAGCGCATAGACAGAAGGACCTCCCGCATCAACTCTGTCCTTGCTGTTTTGTTTTGCAAATTCCAGACAGTTTTCTTGTCCTTCCTAAAATCTGAATTCAGTTCTCTCACTCATGGAGAATACTTGGTCAGATTTAAATACTTCCTCCATGATGTGAATTCTCAAAATTAAGTCCAATTAGTCCCAAGTGTCATTGTTCCTAATGAACAAGGAGTGAATCAGATTTTTGCCCAGATAGTGTTTCTAGTTTTGTTTTCAATCATTTAAAACATAAGTGGATCTGTCTATTCCTCCACTTTGGTCACTTTTTACTTTGGAGCGTATTTTATTTGGTTATTATTGACAAACTCATGATAATTTAAAATAAATAATTAAACATATATTGATAGGTATATAGTCCTGTATTTACTTCACAGTGCTCATTACGACTGGCTATGTTTATCTATTTATATGCCTTTATGAAAGAACACTTTTTTTTAAGACCTGAACATTTTATTTATTTATTTATTAAAAATTTCCACCTGCTCCCCGAAATAACATGTTTTATCATGTGCAACTTGTTCATATATGCTTTCCTCAGGTGACTCTTCTTAACTCTCAGAGTAAAAATTTTCTGATGCTCTGAATAAAGTTGGCTATTACATGAGACTAATTCACCTCATTTAGCAGTTACATTCTACCAGGCCCCACTGCCCATAGAGTGGCAAAGATACCAGCAGTGGGTATGTATTGACAACTTTTGAAAAGTGCATACATATTCATTCTGCAGAATAAATCACAGATGTGGTCTTATAATATTGACAATACCATGCCCTTATTATTATGATGCCAGTCATTGCAGTAATATTGTGTCAAGCATCTTTTCTTTATAGACTCAATCATAGTACAAACTGGAATTTTAAATGGAGATAAGGTGGGCAAACTGTCTCATGTTTAAACAGGTCTTTTCTAATAGATTCTAGTCAATAAAGACTCAGTTTCATTCCCTTTGGGTAGCACTGTTAAATATCCTATGTTAGAGAGGATCCATAGCGCTACTTTTTGTCAACTGAATAAATACTAAGGACTTTAGTATTTGCTAAATTCACAACCCAGCCCATCATGGGAGGTGGCAGGAAGTAGTTTGTCCTTACTACTAGGAATGCTTAGTCTCATTGAAGATGGGTCACTCATTTGTTCTCTAGTTTTACATTTGGTGACTTTATAAGAGCACAGAAGGTACTGATTAAATATAGTGAAATCTTGTGATGTTTATAACATTTGCTCTAATATGCCTTAATGACATTAATGTTTCTACTGGTACAATTCCCATGATATTAATTTAGAGATACTTAAAGTAATAAAAGCACTGTGCAGTTTTCTCTGAAAATCGTTGTATATATTCTTGTACAACACTTGACGCACATCCAATTCCTTCTTTTCTTTGTTGCTTGACTTTCCTCGGTTATGATGGTTTTTTTTCCTAAGTTTCTCATGTTTATAACTCCCGCACAGCATAATCTAACCAGCATTATAAAAGATAATGGCAATTTTGAGAGGTCTAAGGCTAAAATCTAGTTTGAAGTGAACTCTTGATTGTGTTGCAATGGTGCTGTGGGTGTATTTTCATGCAATACCTTTAATATCATGCTTTTGAATCCGTAGCTATGAAATAAGGTGGGGTTGAAAGGACATTTTCCAAGAGCTTGTGTGATTGCTATTGGTGTTGTGTGGCCACAGGCATCGGTTGGCTTTATTCGCCTGGGTAATATTTTGTACGGGGTAAGCATCCTAACACCTTACTATGTTCACCACCACCCTACACACATACAGGGGAGAGTACTTCCACTGAGGAGAAGCAGCCATAGCTGGTAGTGGAAAGTACAATCATGACAGAGTCTGAGACTCCAAGACAGGGGGCTGAGTCACATGAAACAGCACAATGGAAAGAGTTTAAAGCCAATTGGGACTACTAAGCATGACTCTGGCACAAAACATACAAGCAAGCAAGCAGACAAATGAATTGCAAAGGTGAAACAAACAGAAACAAAAAGGCAAACAAGCAAACCAATACTTTGTCTATTTCATTTTAATTTTTCTATGAAATGCAAGGACTCTGCAATCAAGCTGACTTTCACATAACTATTAACCCCAACTAACTATGATAAAAAGTTAATGAATCATTTTAGAATGTTTTCCTTTGGGATTTCTCATCTGTAAAGTAAAAAATAATAGCTTTGTGTTTAAATGAAAGCAGTTGTTAGAAGTCTTCCTTACTGTAGACTGCATAAAAGTTATTGAATTGTAAAGTTTCAATAAATACCATATTACAGAACTGGATAGATCTAAACCATTGAAGAGCAAAATAAAATTCCACAAAGAGGTGAAATTAAATTTATTATTATCGCCATATAATGTGTGGTATATTGTGATTAAATTTAAATTTTACTCAATTGGTGTTTTCTTAGATTTTAAAAAAGAGAAAATATCATACCAGGTTTTAAACTGGCATCTTCCTGAAAATCAAGAAAAGGAATTCCATAATAGACTAGATCTCCTTTCAGAAGAATTAGTTCATCCAAGGTAATTTGCTTTAATTTATGGAACCAAAGAATCGTTAATCAAGTCTTTCAGATGGGGAAATGGTGGTCTCATGATGCTTTAAGTGAGTTTAAGAAAAATGATTTCTGGGTGAATTAATTGATGTAGGGATGGATTTTCTTTGAGTGGTGCATGGTAGATGACTGCCAGCTAGATCAGTGATGGGATATTCTCTAGAAAGTGGAAGGTGTGCCTTTTAGACCTTCTGTTCTACATGTTACTTGTCATCTGCTCATCTCAATGAAGCCAGTACAGTTACTGCAACCTCTCTATTCAGGGACAGAGGGTCCACCTTCTTCTGTATTTTTTGTCACCTTCCTACATACAATCCCTAATGGAGGAAACCCCATTGCATGTGTATCTGTCATCTGTCATGGTCCTTTCCTATTAAACTACTTTAAAAGATTTCCTTTTCCTCCCTTTTCCTGAAAATTATTTTTTCTCATATAATATATCCTGGTTATATATTATAGGAGTCTTCCTTCTATTCCTTCCAGTAGCTCCCCAGCTCTCATACCACCCAGATCCACTCTCTTTCTGTCACTCATTAGAAAACAAGCAGGCTTCTAGTAATATATTACATACATATGATAAAAAATACAACAAAAGAAAATAGAATACCATAAAACCAAAAATGTCACATCAGAGTTGGACAAGAAAAACAAACAAAAGTAAAAGAACCTGAGAGATGGCGCATTATTATAACAGAATAACTCAGTTTGAGTGATTTTTATAATGAAAATAAGCTTATACAGGTCTCAGTTGTGTAAGTTCAAGTTCACAGTGTAGCACCTGCCCTACCGGACGGTTTGCGAGTTGGGCAAGGGGCTGGAGATTGAAAAACACACAAAGACATGGGTCACTCTTGGAAACAAGAATGCCAATTTTATTGTGTTAAAGGGCAGCTTATATAGGGCTCTCCCTGACCCATGGCCACGCCCCAGCCCTCAGGATTTTTTAGCTGCAAGCCCACCAGAAACCACTCTTCCACCATCTGGAACTCATGAGGGTCTTATGCTCAGAGCAGCTGCAAGCATAGGAAAACAAGTTGTATACTCTGGCAGGCAGGCGGTTATTGGAAATTCAGGGTGTGAGGGTCTGCAGTCCTCAGCACACGGTGCAAACAGCAATCACGTCAGCTTTACTGAAAACATGATAGATGGTATCATCATGACTAAAGCATGTGGGACTGGATGAGTCAAGAGAAGAGAAAGAACAGGTTTACATCTCCCACTGGGTTTAACTCAAACTCTAAGGAGGACTGTTTTAATGATCTATAGTATAAGGGCTCTTAATAATCTCCTACTAAAGTGTTCTCTTAAAGGTACTTCTACCTCTATACAGCTACATTGACACCAACTTTCTGACAGATGAACCCTTGTAGACAAACCACAGCTATTTGATTTTAAGTTGGGTCTAAAATGAGCAAAGATGGAGAGCCCCTGGTCTCTCGTCTTGTGGATCTTTGGATGCAGGAGGACAGGATGCACTTGTGCACTTTTACCAGGATGCTTATCTAGTAAGCACTGATGTGAAACGGTCCCTAGAGAAGTGCCGTAGGCAAGAGTCATCGGTAGGATGACAAATGTTTAGCACAATCTTCAGGGAAAGTTTGAGTCAGTAAGAGTTGTCAATTCTAATAGCGAGCTTCCAATCATGCTTCTTTTTCCCATTCGAATTTTAGGTTAGCATACAAAGCAATAGGTTTTGCTATGAATTTTCAAGAAAACACAATGTCACTATCCTTTGTTCTACTTTGCCCCCTTCACCAAAGCACTGTTCCATGACACCTGTATCTCTTTTGCTACCTTTTCTTTTTATGTGCTCACATAGCCTCCTTCCTAACTACACCATGTAAAAAGACAAACACACACACACACACACACACACACACACACACACACACACA